GCTGTTGCATTGTGGTAAACTGTGGTCAATGACATGAGACAAAGTATATGTGAACTGCTGTATGGAAAGTGAATTTGCTCTGTAAATCTTCACTCCAATCACAATTTAAAAAGAAAGAAAAAAAATGGAATCATTTTAAATAAATTTGTTTAAATTTTGTAGTGACACCTTTCATATTGTGAAAAGCCATGTCCTAACTTTTTGGTTTTGTACATTTCAATTTTAAAAATTTTAGTTGAAAGGGAATATACTTGCAAATGTAATTATAGTCCAGTGTTTTAATTGACAATGGTAATTTTTTTATTAAAGTAATTTTCATAGATTCTCATTGCATATTTTCTCACATCTTAATTCTTTAAAATTGTGCTGCATTTTACTGTTGCTGCAATCTAAAAAAAAGTGTTAATTCACACTTCTGTTTCAGTATATTTTCATTCTTGGTGTTATCTAAAATAATGGTAAATCTTAAAATTGATGGCTTCTTAGATTTGACAAAATCTGGAGTTGTCAAGAAAGTAATGTTATTTTGCTACATGCTCAGTTATCTAACTTTCTTATGTACTGTCTGTTCCTGAAGCATCCCCTAGAACAGGATGTCTTAACCAGGTGCTATTTTGCTTCCCAGAGGACATTTGATAATGCGTGGGGACATTTTTGATTGTTGTAACTGGGGGAGGGTACTACTAGTATGCAGTGGGTAGAGGGGGCAGAGATGCTGTGAAACATCGTATAATGCATAAGACAGCCCCCTACAATGAAGAATTATGTGGCCCAAAATGTCAGTAGTACTGAGATTCAGAAACTGCTGTAAAAACTCCTGTGGATTCAAAAATTACGTCTGTTTTTGAGAAGTACATCAAATATGCTTTGGCTCCTTTTGTGAGCAAAGCATTTTGCCAAGTTCTGAGGAGAAATCAAAGTAATTTGTGATTTGGCCTTTTTCAGAAACAATTTTAAATAGTTGCTTTTTTCCCCTAAATTAGTCATAAAGTACCTAATCGATCAAAGCCAACAATTAGAAGCACTGCACACATATTTTTTGAAAAAGGCTGTTGAATGCTAGATACATGCCTGTCATTTTTAGTTTAGCAAAAAAGTGGAATATTAATTAATCCTTTGCTGTTATTTGTGTTTTTTTTTTTTTTTTTAAAGTGCCACTGAAGTTTTCCCAACACTCTGCCTGTTCTATTCTTAACTGATTTGAATGATTGTCTTCAGCTCCTCAGGGGATTAAATGTCGTCAGAGGACCGAGAAGCTCAGGAGGATGAATTGCTGGCCTTGGCGAGTATTTATGATGGAGATGAATTTAGGAAAGCGGACTCTGTCCAAGGGGGAGAAACAAGGATCTATTTGGATTTGCCACAAAATTTCAAGATATTTGTGAGCGGTTAGTCACAATATTCTTTTGAATACATTTTTTTTCCCTAAATAAAGATTCTCTATTTCTTAGTGTACTTTAAGCTATTTACCATCTTGTGTTTTTCGGCATTAGTAATAGTATTTGTCAATTTAATGCATTTTTCTGTCTTAGTTGAAAATTGGAATGGGGTAAACAGTTTCCAATTTGATTCCTTCTTTTTGACCACTGAATTAGAGTAGTATTCTACTTACTGCCTGCATTCTAATCTTCCTCCAACTAGCAATTTATCAGCCATGAGTCACTTCTATTATGTAGGGAAAATCAGAGTAGATGAAATACACCTACTTCTCACTTATCAATTATCTTGTTGTTCAACATTTCATATTTACCACCATAGCAAGGAATCTACTATCTGACTATTTTGTGCATTAACGACGTATATCTGACAGTAATGAACACCAAGATGTGTGGCGAGTAACACTGGCTCTGATGGGTAAGGTTATATGTTAACTTGGCCAGGCCATGATCCTCAGTGGTTTGGCAATTAATTATGATGTAGTCATCTTCCCTTTTTGCATAACACCAGTTTTCATGTAATGACCTGGCCTTTGGAGCCAGAACCTAATCATGTTGATAAGTGAGGAGATACAATGTATGTGAAAACACTTGGAAAACTTTAAGGGACCATGGTGGTAGTTGTACTATTTGGTTTCTAGAATCATTTCAGCTACTGTACACATGGGACATATGCTGTTACTCTGACCTTTTGCTTAAAAAAAAAAAAACAACTGCTGGTTTTGATATAAACATTCACAGAAGCCCTTGATGCACATTTTCTCAAAAGATTTCTACTATAATTTCTACTATTTTCTACTTACCAAAAAACCAAACTCACTGCCGTCGAGTCGATCCAACTCATAGCGACCTTTCCTTGGGTTTTTGAGGCAGTATCTCTACAGAAGTAGGTTGCCCAACCTTCCTTATGAGGAGTAGCTGGTGGATTTGAACTGCCATCCTTCTGGTTAGCAGTCAAATGCCTTAGGCACTATGCCACCAGAGATCCCTGTACTATAAAGACATTGAGTAAAGAAAGTGTCATAATTTAAATGAAACTTTGATAGTGCGAGTGTTGTGTGTTGTATCATACCCTCAAACCAAAGGTCATTGTGTTGGCTTACATCTTCCTAGGTAGTTGGCACATGCTGATCTAAGTAGGTCATGGCTGTTTGATAGAAATAAACGTCCTTTTCTCTGGATGTATCTTTAATGGTCTGTGAAACAATAAAAGAGAACATTGTGTATTAATCATTAATGGTAGGAATTGTAGTCGAAAATGTATTCAGGAATAAGTTGTGTATAATGAAGGTGACGTAATGACTGTGACGTTAAAATTAAGGAATAGAAAGTGCTTTGGGGGAGGATTTTTATTACCTCAACTAAAGCATTTTTTTTCTTGAGCACTGCTTAACAGTAGTGGACACTCAAGTGCTGACCAACTGATCCTTTCTAATCTTTGTTTTTGGTTCAGGCAATTCAAATGAGTGTCTCCAGAATAGTGGCTTTGAATACACCATTTGCTTTCTGCCTCCACTTGTGCTGAACTTTGAACTGCCACCAGATTATCCATCCTCCTCCCCACCTTCATTCACACTTAGTGGCAAATGGCTGTCACCAACTCAGGTTAGACCCAAAAGTTAATTTCTCCTATCCATTTTTAGAAACTTAAAAAATCATCTTTAATGGAAGACTACCTTTGATGATCTTGAATTCAGTGCATGAAGAACAAATGGCTTTAATTTTGTCATTTTTTTCCTTGCATTTATGAATCCTAATGTTAATGAATTGAAATTACTTTGGTGTTTTAGAATGAAATGGCAGTAATTAAAGCTACTAATCATTATGGTTTGCAGTGGGAATACTTTTTAATCGAGTATATTGTTTCTTTGTATTTCCTCATTTTAATCTGTATTGTAATGAAGATTATGAAGTCCTCATTTTCCTCAGATTATGGTGTTCCTTTCTTCCCCCTCAGTTTTTCATTCATTCCTCAAATGGAAGATTTAATTGTAATTAGCAGGGCTGAAAATTAAGCTAATACAATTATAATAAATAAATTTCCTAAATAAACATAATGAATAGTTTTGTTATTTTAATTTTTATTGTGATTTGAGTGAAAGTTTACAGAGCAAATTCATTTTCCATACAGCAGTTCATACACATTTTGTCTCATGACATTGACTGCAATTTCCCACAATGTAACAGCCTTCTTCCCATTTCCTCCCCATAGTTATCTCTTTCCTGTGTCCTTACTTCCTATGCACTCCTGTCCCCTGAGCTGTTTCCCTGTGTATACACTGCCTTTCTTTTCTCCCATGATTAATCTCTTCAAGTAGTGTATCTATCTGATGTAAATGTTAAGCCCATATGCTGGTCTTTTATTTGGCTGGAAGCCATAGGAGTGAGTTCAATTCCAGACCTGAAGGGCAGCTAGGGACCATAGTCTCAGGGGTTCCACCAGGCTCTACCAGACCAACAAACCTGGTCTTTTTTTTTTTAATTTTGTGTTTTGTTCCATGTTGTTCTCCCACTCTATCCAGGATCTCCTACATAGATCCCCCTCTGAGTGGTTGACAGTGGTAGCCAGACACCATCTAGTTCTTCTGGTCTCATGGTCATATAGGCTGAGGCATGGTCTATCAGTCCCTTGGACTAATTGTTTCCAATCATCTTTGGTTTTCTTCTTTCTTTGCTCTGGACGAGGAAAGACCCATTGTTGCATCTAGATGGCTGCTTGTAAGCTTTTAAGATCTCAGTCACTACTTACCAAAGTAGGATGTGGAACAATGTTTTTGTGTAGTATGTTATGTAGTATGTGTAGTATGTTTTGTGTAGTATGTTAATTGAGCTTAATGTCCCCTGGGACCGTGGTCCCGAGCCTACAGGTCCAACTACTCACTCCCTCTGGGTAGCTGGCTGTGGCCAAGAAGTCACCACAACCTTGTCCCTTGTGAGCTCTACTATATACCTGGACATTCTTACAGAACATACAAATACACTTGTAGAAACATTGTCTGCCAACCCTATACATGGTCATAGGCACACTCCCCCCTGCCTAGACATACCTGATTGTTCAGCCTGTCCACCCATTTATCCACCTGTAGATCAATGTTTGCCATCACTGACAATGCAGTACTGTATGTGCAAAAGAGTTCGTCTTTGTTGTCTGTACCTCCCAATAAACATAATAAATAGTTTTATTTTGAAAGATCTGTATCTTAATAGCAAATCATTGTTGGACTGGTCTCACATAGATCCAAATGCATAGATTCCTGAGAATGATCTCATTAAAGCCAGAGACATGACATTAAAAGCCTTAATTTCCTTCAGATTATATATCCTTTTCTCGTAATAACCTCAGCTCTTGATTGAGACATAAGTATGACTTGAAGCTAATAAAAGTATTCTGGGACAGATAGTAGATCAACAGCAGCTTCTGTTGAGAAGTCATGATGAAGATTGATAGACTGATGTATATTAAGACAAAAGCTGTCAGAGTCGCTGACTCAAGGAACAGCCTGTCAGTTTTCCCTTTTTGATCATGTAGTTTTGATTCCCATACTCACCAGTCCAGACTTTTACATAATTGAGCTAATGGTTTAATAACAAAATTAAACTTTAAAAATGATAATACATGGAGAATAAAAAGAAATATGACTTTACATTTTAATATCTGTGCCAGAGGCAGTACAGGAGAAGAGAGTGGATTATTTGAACAAGATTATCAAAGTTTTCTGACATTTAGATCACTAAGAGTTGACTGAATTATTTAATATTTATAGCCACATTTCTCCAGGGAGCTCTTGATGCTTTTTACTCATGCATGTATGCATGTGCACAAACACATGCATGTGCACACACATACACACACACAAAGGATGTGTTAGCTGAGTGTGTGGTTACAGTTTCAGATTCCAGCCAAATATTACCTATTTAACGCTGGCTTTGGGTGAGGGAAGGAGAGTTATTTATTATTTTGTTTTGCAGCTAAAATTATAATAGGATTCTTTATCATATTTTTTGCATTTAATTGGCATTTTAATTTGTCTGTGTCCCTTGGTTCAACTTTTCTTTTTGCCAGGCCCTGATTCATTGACATGAATCATACCTGTTGATAGTGAAGGTGACACATGGACCTGTTATTTACTGAATTGGAGTGGGTGTGTGGAAGGCAGTGGGTTTAGTCTTCTGGTATTATCGTCCTCCCCACCCCATACACACATGCACAGTCTCTCTCTCTCTCTCTCTCTTGCTCGAATCTTTTCCTTTCTCTGTCTCTTCCCTCACGCGTCAGTGCATCCCTTTTGAACAGGGGCTGAGAAGAAATGAGGATGGAGGAGAATGGTTTTTTCATTGGACTTTGTGGTTAATATAACACTCAGAGCTTCCCTTTTAGCATTTATTACATTTTACAGATTTCAGCAGAGTTTTTCAGAAACAAGGTTGAATCTTATAAGCATATTCATGCAAATGTGAAAAAGCACTAGTTGTCTGACCCTGAACTCTTCCTTAAGTGTTTGAGTGCCCATGCAGGGTTTAGTGAAGAGTACTACACAGAGCAAGGAACAGAAAATGAGGTCCTTTTTCACATGTAATTTCAATTTACAAAATTTGTTTGCCATCTGGAAGGCTTATTTTTATGTTTACCTAAAAATAAAAGCTGCTTATAATTCCCAAGCCCTACTTACAAATATTTTACATATCTAATCGAACATCCGCTTATATGTATCTTTCAAATTGAACAGACCACTTATGAGGAGGAAAAGTCTTAAACAGTTTAAAATTTGATTGCTTAGCTTGGGAAATGTGAGCTTTCCCTAGGGTAGCTAACCCATGTTGAGGCTGTGTAATTATGTCTTATACAGAATCAGTCTGCTTCCTTCCATTAACCAGGATCTGATGGAAGCCCAGATTGCTTAGTTAAAACCAGTTTGTAAATCTGAATAACAAAGGCTCTCAGGTTGAATTCCATTGGTGATTCTCTCATTTTAGTTAGCTTTCTGATAGGACTGAAAGTTAGAATTAACTTAAAAAGTCGGTTCCTATTTTTAAACTGTTCTTTTCCTAACCATTATTCCATGACACCTAAAAGGCTAGGACTCCAAAGGGATTAAAAAAAAAAAAAATTCATTTAGAACTAGATCTCTTTCCGCTACATGAGAGAGATCATCACAATATTAGAACAAATAAATAAAGTTCTGCGTTTCAGCGGCTCTCAGTAAATCTAGTTCTCCATCTTCACTTGTGAAGTCTTGCCATTTCTCTTGTTTTTATGGTCCTTCTACCTTCTGAGTTTGTGTTGCTCTCTGGTTTATGTTGCTAAATGGGTTAAGAAATATTCTGATAAGAATATTGGCACTGTTTTGCAGCACAGTTTACAACAGTAGTTAAAAAAAAAAAAGTCAGGAAATATAAGGGCCTGCCTTACAAGTTAAAAGGTTTAAAGGAAAATCAAGAGTTGATATCATCATCTTCTTCCCTTTCCTAACTCACCATCATCCTCATTTGCTTTCTCCTAGCTGTCTGCTCTGTGCAAACACTTGGACAATCTGTGGGAAGAATACCGTGGCAGCGTGGTCCTATTTGCCTGGATGCAGTTTCTTAAGGAAGAGACCCTAGCGTATCTGAATATTGTCTCTCCTTTTGAGCTCAAGATGGGTTCACCAGGAGAAGTGCAGGGAAGGGCAGCACAAGCCTCGTCGAATACAGAGCTAGATTTTGGAGGAGCTGCTGGACCTGATGTCGACCAAGGGGAAGTTGTGGATGAGAGAGCCGTGCAGGATGTGGAATCATTGTCGAGTCTGATCCAGGAAATCTTGGACTTTGATCAAGCTCAGCAGAAAAAGTGCTTTAATAGTAAATTGTTCCTGTGCAATATCTGTTTCTGTGACAAACCGGGTAGTGAATGCATGTACTTCTTGGAGTGCAGGCATGTGTACTGCAAAGCCTGTCTGAAGGACTACTTTGAAATCCAGATCAGAGATGGCCAAGTTCAGTGCCTCAACTGCCCAGAACCTAAGTGCCCTTCAGTGGCCACCCCTGGTCAGGTAACTGCTTACTCTGCTGGCAGCTGCGTCTTAGTTCTCTTTCACAGGTGAAGCTGTCTTCTCAGAAGCTTCCTTGATAGGGGTTATCAGGGTAGTCTGAGTGTGGAGCCAGACCCTAACTTGTTTCACTGTATCTGTCAAGAATTGTTGGGTCCATTTAGGCAAATGCTTCCTTTGCTGGCCTTGGAATGGGTGGTCATAGGCAGGGATGAGTGTTAAGTAATTCTGTTTTGTTTTTTTCTTAATGTTATCTACTAGGATCCCATCAACCTTGGGGAAGCGTTAGCCTATCTTTTTATGAGATTGAGATCTATAGGGGTCATCCCTTGGAATGGTTAATCGAATCATTTACAAACTTCTTGAATTATTTTTTGATCAGTTTTATTAAGGCATAATTTTAATTATAATAAACTGTACCCATGTAAAGTATACAGTTTGCTTAGTTTTAGCAAATGTATAGTCCCTGTAACCACCACCTCAGTCAAAATCCACACTCTTTCCATACTTGATTCAATTTTGAAGTGAGACAGGATTTTCATTTATGTGCCTGTCTAGTTCACACCAGCATCACAAGGCTCTCCTGAGGATCAGACTGGTTGGAAAATCATCTCATCTGTAGTGTTCTGTATTTTCTTCCAGGTCAAAGAGCTAGTGGAAGCAGAGTTATTTGCCCGTTACGACCGCCTTCTGCTCCAGTCCACCTTGGACCTGATGGCAGATGTGGTGTACTGCCCCCGCCCATGCTGCCAGCTGCCTGTGATGCAAGAGCCTGGTTGTACCATGGGCATCTGCTCTAGTTGCAATTTTGCCTTCTGTACCTTGTGCAGATTGACCTACCATGGGGTCTCTCCCTGTAAGGTGACAGCAGGTAAGTTGTAACCAAGTGAACTGAACTCCCATCCCTTTCCTGTCCCCAGTCTCCCCTGCCCTCCGCTGTCACCCCACCTACACTAAGCCTTATCATTTCAATTTGGAAGTATTCATTCAACGAATATTTTTTGTCTAATTAATGTCCTAGATGCTAGGGATAGAGTAGTGACCCAAAGAAACAAAATATCCTCCCAATAGAATTTACATTCTAGTGAGGGAGACAGGCAAAAAAAAAGGATATTAGGTAGTAATAAGTGGTAAGGAGAAAAAGATAATAATAAAGCAGGGACAGTACATGAAATGTTCTGAGTGGGAGGGGTTTGGGATTTTAGTTAGAAAAGCAAGGGGAGGACTTAGTGGCAAAGTGATTTGAATAAATACGTGAAGGAAGTAAGGAAACAAGCCATGGAGATATCAAGGGGAGCATTCCAAGAGAGGGAACAACAAAGTACTTTCTACCTGTGAACATGGAATATCTTACATCCTGGGTGGTACATGCAGAGCGTCTGAGCCTGCCACTCTTCGATCCATGCATATGTCTGTCTCAAGTGCTCTCTCACTGAGCCTATGAAGGCCTCAGAATCTTCCTCAACATAGTGCTTCAGAAAGTCACCATCTGTTGAAGTAGGCACAAGAGGTTAAACCTGTTTGCCATTTTTGATCTAGATAAGGATTGGGAAATCAGGCCCCTGACATGGATTTAACTGGACTTTGGTGGCCCAGTCTCTCATACATAGCAGGGATGACACTAATAATAGCTACTTCATAGGTTATTCTGAGGATGAATAAACTGATGCAACCCTACTCAAAGTTGTTAAATTGTTTTACTGATCTATGATAAGTTTAGAAATGACCCTCAGGTTTAGAAACCATTATAGCAATTTGACAGAGTAATTTTATGTAAAATCTAATAAAAATTTAAGCTGATATATATATATATATTTTAATTTAATTTTTATAATAATTCATTATTATTGTATTTAACAGAAATATCTGCTCATGACAAATTGAGGACAACAGTTGGTCCTTCACCATAAATAGTTTGAGAAACAATGAGCTAACACATATAAAATACAAAGTGCTAATTATTAATGCCATTATTACTAAATTAGTAATTACTACTGTTAACAGAGTGTCATTATCTTTGAGAAAGTACACAAAGAAGAGGGAGTGAGTGGATACTTCCAGTTGCCCAGAGCAGAGTCCTGTCATGAGTAGGGCAGCTGGGATGGAGAACTTACCTAAATATAACGAAACACTGCCATCGAGTCGAATCCGACTCATAGCGACCCCTCTTTGGGTCTCTAAGGCGGTATCACTACGGAAGTAGATTGCCCAACCTTCCTTCTGAGGAGTGGATGGTGGGTTTGAACTGCCAGCCTTCTGGTTAGCAGTCAGATGCCTCAGGCACTATGCCACCAGAGCTCCTAAATATAGTTTAGACTTTAGTAACTTTATCATTGAGAGGCTGAAGTACATCTCAGGGGTTTCACAGCATTCAGGGAAGAAACAAAAGATGGATGTGGGGGCTTCAAAAAATTAGTAAGATACACACACCCACACTATTACTATATAATATATATGAACTGCTAACAGCTTTTTATTTTGAAAATATTAGCACAATAACCTTTTTTCCTTAAGATGTGTACCAAAGGACCATAAAAATACTTTGAATTATTAGAGGGATAAAAATGACAGGATAACAGAGGTCCACGTCTGCTACATCCAAGTAGAGGTAATGGAGCCATGGAAATACACAACAGACAGAAAGACTCACAAGTGAAGGAAAAGAGTGTGGTTGGGATTCTGCCACAGGTGATGTCTATTGCATAAAGAGAGAGACCTCCAAATGATAGGGGGAAGTAAACTAATGAAATAGAAGAACATTGTTGAGAGTTTTTGGAGCTAATTAGTAGTGTTAAAAAATTCAGGTGGTAGAATAGTGAAAAAAGCCTCTTGTCTACAAGTAAAGCCTTTGGGAATGGCTACCTGTTTCATTGAGTAATAGAGTAACAGAAGTCAGGTTGAAGGATATCAAGGGGGAGAGTTGATAGGAGGAACCTCTTAGCACCTGTCACAAAGCATAGCACAGGGTGAGAATGAGAGTGGTAAATTGTATACATTGATTTTTTTTATATACAAAATTGAACAGTTGTCTTAGCCCTTAACCCATAGGTACTTTATGTATTGGCGAGGTCTTGCTCATTACTGAATGGTAAATGATGCTGACCTAGTGGGTGATCAGTAAGCATGTCTGCTTCAACCTTTGTGTCTTTTAGATAAGTCAGTCTTTAACAGCATATTATTAATTGCTCAAATGATATCAACATTAATAAATCAAAATCAAAGGGGAAAATTCCCATTATTCTACTACTTTAGCAAATCTATCTGTTTTAGTTGTGGGACTGCCTTCCATTCTTTGTCATTTATGTCTGTATAATTTTTACATAGTTGTAACATAAGTATAATTTTTTTTTTGGATTCTGTAATAAGGATTTTAATTGTGTTGTGGCAATCCTAATAAAAAAGTTTCTAATAACTGAAGGCATGTCATTAAATGGCTCTTCCACATATGATTATTCCCTGAGGCATTTAATTTGTTTGCCATTGTTATATGCATCTCTGTGCTTCTGCCTTTACTTTGGATGATTTCCTTATGATAAAGTCCTGGGAATAGCATTATTGAGTTCTCAAAGGTTACAGCCATTTTTAATGGTTTTTACTTAATATCGCAAAATTGTATAAAAGTTAATTTTCCATTTCACTTTCTAGAGAAGTTAATAGACTTACGAAATGAGTACCTGCAAGCAGATGAGGCTAATAAGAGATTTTTGGAACAGAGGTATGGTAAGAGGGTGATTCAGAAGGCACTGGAAGAGATGGAGAGTAAGGAGTGGCTAGAAAAGAATGCCAAGAGCTGTCCATGTTGTGGGACTCCAATAGAGGTAAGTATTCGGGACAAACTTGGAGGTAAACAGACTTGAAAGCATGTTAGAATTGCTTCAAGAAGTCTGTTAAGTCAGTTTTGTGACTTAATAATAAAACATATTTTGGTCTCGATTAAGCCTTCTTAGTTAAAAAGACGTGAATTTATTACTAAATATTGTTATTTACCTTAAATGTATGTAACACTAGCTTTTCAAAGTGCTTTTATACAGTGATTGTTGTTCTTATATTATAAAAAACAAAAAACAGCTAAACAGTGGCCATGGAGTCAGTTCCAACTCATGGAGATGCTATGGGTGTCAGAGGAGAATTGTTCCATAGGGTTCTCAACGGCTATGATCTTTCAGCAGTAGATCACCAGGCCTTTCTTCTGAGGCGCCTCTGGGTGGATTTGAACTGCCACCTTTCAGTTCGTAGCTGAGTGCATCACTGTTTGTGCCACCCAGAAAATCTGCCATTATATCCACCTGAAAATTGAATGGGTTATGAGGAGGCCTACTAGACCTACAGTCAACTCATCTATGTTAAAAAAAAAAAAAAGTTAACTCTGATTTTTCCTCAGAACTATTTATGCTCAGATGTAGGACACCTTTTTAGCAATTACTTGCTAAGAAAATGGAGACATTTTTCCATTAATCTGATCCAAAATAATTAGATGAATCTTAATATATTTTAAAATCAAAATATCTCTTGCCTTTGATTTTACAGTTCCAATCTATATCTGAATGGAACCTAACAGTAATTCCTAACTCCATGAAGAAAATTGGCATTATATTTAGTCCACTTCTGGCATGCCTCAATCTTATGATAGACTGGGGATTTGATACTTAAATTTTTGTAAAAAAATTTAAAATTATACCTTTTAAATCCAAACATTTTAACATTAATCTGTTACTACATATTCCACACACAATAATACATGTTTGGCTTATATCTACTGTTTATCAAGAAGAGATTTTGCTAAGTGTTTAGTTGTAGGAGTACCTACTTAGTATTTTCTTTAATGCTTATTTTGCATTAGAAGTAATATAAATGGTTGTTGAAGTGTTAACGTATATATCTCAACCCTGCATGAGAAAAGGGTGAAGACTAGGAAATTGTTGTACTGAATCTTTTTGGCCAGTATATTTCTCTTCTGCATTTACAGCCTTGATATTTTTCTCTTTCTGTCCTTCCCACCAGAAATTAGATGGATGTAACAAGATGACATGTACTGGCTGTAGGCAGTATTTCTGCTGGATTTGCATGGGTTCTCTCTCTAGAGCAAACCCTTACAAACATTTCACTGATCCTGCTTCCCCCTGTTTTAACCGGTATGTATACACAGAATTCCCCAGGCATGGCACTGATTTTTGGTACTTGATTTGCAGACCACAGATCCAATGTTTTACTTAAGTATTTGCACTTAATTTAGAGAATTCTCTGACATGTTTTCTCATACACATGAATTTCTATATTATTTTCTCAGAAATGAGTTTTATGATGGGAATATACATTATCTGGAAATTTTTATTTTATTTTGTATCTTCTTCAACGTTAATAGTGAAAATTTTTTAAACATACAGCAAAGTTGAAAGAATAGTGTTGTAAGTAGGACCCCTTCCACCTAAATTGATAACATTTTGCCTATTTGTTCTATTTAATTTTTTTGTTGAACTACTTGAAGAAGCTAAGTTGGAGACATTTCATCTGTAAATACTTCCACATGTATCTCTTAAGATAAGAAAATTCTACATAACTACAGTACTTAAAAATAGTTAACAATAATGTCATATTATCTAATAAAAAGGGAGTTCTGGCGTCACAGTGCCTAAAGCATTTGACTACTAACCTGAAGGTGGGCGGTTCAAACCCACCAGCTGTTCTGTGAAGGAAGATGAGGACAGTCTACATCTGTAAAGATTTACCACCTTGGAAACCCAGTAGGGGTTGTTAATGAGTCAGAATCAACTTGATGGCAGTGAGTTTGGTTTTTGGTGTGATCATCTTATAAATGGTAGGTATTTAAAACATCCCAATTATTCCTAAAATGTCTTTAAGCTACTTTAGTGAACCAGGATCTAATCAAGGTTCAGTTATTGTATTTGGTTCTGTATCTTTAGTATCTTTTAATACAAAACAGATTCTCCTCCTTTCTGATGTATGTGTTGGGTAGAGATGTTACTTTTCTGCAGGGTCTAGGCAAGTTGTCCTGTATGACATTCTACGGTCCAGAGTTTTTTTTTCCCCATGGTGTCTTGTTTCTCTATCCTCTCTATTTCTTGTAAACTGGAAGTTAGTCTAGATTAAAGTTTTATTAGATTCAGAACAACCATTTTTTACAAGAATACTCATAGAAAGTGATGATATTGAATCACGTTGTTGTAGTTATATGCCGTCAAGTCAGAACCGACTCATAGCGACCTCTTCTTGGGTTTCCGAGGTGGTATCATTACGGAAGTAGATTGCCTAACTAACCTTTCTTCAGAGGAGTGGCTGGTGGGTTTGAACCGCCAGCCTTCTGGTTAGCAGTCAAGTGCCTTAGGCACTACACCACCAGACCTCCTTTGAGTCACGTTGTTGTTGTTATGTGCCGTCAAATCGGACCTGACTTAGGAAGCCCAAAAAATCAGGTTCTCCCAACTATCAGTGCTGCTCGGTTTCATCATTTATTCCATTATAAAGTTAAGTTTTCCTTTTCATTATTAGTAAAGAATCTGTGGGGTGAGTTCTCGCCATGATGTCAAGATTCTTTTCTCCAACATCTCTCCAGTTTCAGCATCAATTGGTGATCCTTGTTAATAGACATCTGTAGAGTATCTATAGTCATGTGTGTTATATGGCTATAAGAGAAGCTGAAGAAATAAACCCTGCCCATGATATCTAGAGTTGGGAATCACATACATTTTAGGTAACAAAAGGGAAAGATGACAGGTTGTCTATAAAACTTTCTACAAATGGAGGGTGCATATATGGTGAAGATATAAAAATAAGGAGTGACTGGCACATTATAGAGTTACAGTGTCTTGGAGGAGTTTAGATTCTCTTAAATTGCCTGACTTCCCATACCTTTGTTTATTCCACATACTATGTGCATTCAGTATCAGCATTTTGTGATTACTTTCCCCATTATTACTGTTTTATCCTTTACCCAACAGAGTGGTCTGGATCCTAGAAGGGCTCTTCTTGCAAACTTTAAGATAACTTTTCCAGAGATACCCAGATTTCAGCCTTCCTCAGTAGAGTGATTAAAGGAGAGAAAAAGATATACAAAGATATTATCAGAAGGGTATAGAAAGTATTTAATTATATATTAAAAATAACAGGCATATGGGAAAATTAGGCAACTCAGAGAACATTAACAAAGACAGTAACAATTCCAATAAAATACTAGTACAATTTAAAAAACACATGGAAAATTCCTAGCAGAAATACTAAACATAGGACTTTATCTTAAAAAAAAACTGAAAAAGGGAGGAGGAAATAAGTTTTTTTTTTTTTTTTTTTTTTAAATGTACCTCATTTTATGCTTCCAGGTTGTTCCATGCTGTGGATGTTAATGGAGACATTTGGGAAGATGAGATTGAAGACTAGTTAACTTCTGTTGCTCAAGATATAAAAGTGGAATGGTTTTCCCTAATCTTTTGTTTACTACACAAAGTTACCTTGCAGGATATTTAGGGTACCATTCATTCACTCTTCCTATGTAGAAGATATAGAAGAACCAACCAGGTTTATATTTTCCTTTGATACTACTGATGAAGGCACATTCATATAATTGTCAGTGTAACATAAATTAGAAAATTATAAGCCAAAGGCTTAGAAAATGAAAAGTAGAAAATATTACATAATACAGCTCTGCATAGTTAAAAATTCAGTATTTATTTTCTCTCCCAAGCTTTCAGTAAGGAGAGGGGTCATGAGTTTAACTTACAGGCCCTTTTGTCTCAGAGGAGGATCTCTCTAAGGCACTCCTGTTGGGGTCCCCTCAATACTACTACTTACAACCAGGGTGGGTAGAAGCCTTATTAAAATTATACTTGAGAGCTGTAACCTTTTACAAGCCTGATCTCATTTCCTCCATGTTACCAACATTCCTTCTAACCTAAATTTCTGAATCAAGTTCTCCATGGAGGGAGTACTTTATAATTGATGAGATGGCCCAGTGTCATTTTGATCGTGTGCTTTTTCAGAATAGAAATGTATATAATAATTTAAAAAATGTTTTAATGCCACAGACACCGTGGGTCACCTGATTTTTATTAGTGGTGTATAGACCACTAGTTTTGAGCCAGATCTAGAATTTCAGCCCTTTTCAACTTCCCTGGGCAACAGAGCCTAGATTCAAAACAATATGTCTTTGCTACCTTTTGTTGCACATTCTTTGCCTTTCCCCCCACTCACCATCAGTTGGTAAGGCCAATTTTGATATTAACTCCAGCAGCTCATGGTTAAGCCCAGTATATTCCCAAGCTAAAGAAGTTGAACTTTCCTATCCACACCACTCTTCTTCAGGATTCTCTTTCTTTTTAAAGATACTCTCTAAGAAACTATGATAATTTAGCCTCTTGCCTTTTTTTTTTTCTTCCAACAGCAGTATTTTGGAGGATAATTTTGCCGTAATGCTCAGTACCAAGATACCTGGGTTTTTGTTGGCTTTTTGGAAAATTGTCTTTTCTTATGGGTTGGTGGGTGACTTGGTAGCAAAATAAAATTTTTTTGGAAAAGAGGACACAGAAATTAAGCTTCAGTTTATGGACATGGGTTGTTGTTTTCCTCCCCTCTACCTTGTCATTAAAAATTGGGAAACACTTTCAACCATTCTTTGCTGTGGTCCAAAGAGTAAGCAGTGGCTTTGTTTCTGGATTGTCAATGAGGATGCTTAATCTTAACAATACCCATTGCCCATCAAGTTGATTGGGACTCATAGCGACCCTATAGGACAGGGTAGAATTGCCCTGGATTGTTGCCAAGGCAACATATTTCTCCCATGGTGTGGCTGATGGGTGTGAACTACCAACCTTTCAGTTCACAGCTGCGTGCTTAACCATTGCACCACCAAGGCTCCTTAATATTAACAATAAAGATGATAAAAGACAGTTGTCTTTTAATTAAAGCAAAGTTGCTGCTATTCTGTTTTTCAAGGCAACTGATCACATAAAATATTTGGCATATAGGAGCTCTGGTGGCATAGTGGTTAAGGCATTTGGCTGCCAACCAGAAGGTTGGCGGTTCAAACCCACCAATGTTCCATGGGAGGAAGATGAGGCACTTTACTTCCATAAAGATTTACAGCCTTGGAAACCCAATGGGGGTCACTATGAGTCAGAATCAACTCCATGGCAGTGGGTTTATTATTAACTAGAGCTGAAAAACTTTTCTACTCCATGATCCCATCTAGGCTGCCACGTTACATTTAGTTGTCGTGTTTCCCTAGGCTCTTCTGAGCTGTAACATTTCTCCCATGCATTTTTATTGTTAGTGTTATATAATCATCCATTATATCTTAATGCACTTGGATTGGTCAGGAGCTGAAAAACTTTTAAAGACCAATTACTTACCTAATCTTAGCAAGCTCAGCAAATCAACAGTTTGTTGTGATTGAGGGCTTTTTTTGTAGCTTTAAGAGAATTATTAACATTAGACAAGCTGATCAGACCATTCTGTGGGCCAGCTGGACCCATGAGGCTCTCCACTGGCATGACAGGACTAGCCCTCCATCTCAGCTAAATACCGAAGCCAATGAGCGAGCGAGCAAGCAAGCAAGCCTCTAGTAGACATGCCCTTCCTTTTGAGGAGATGAAATAATGTGGGGCCCTAGAGAAAAGATTCAGCAGCCATATTTCCAGAACGTTTTCATCATCAGCAAGGCCATTCTTCAGTAGTAGAGAGTTCTAGTTTATATTTGGAATCATTTAATATACTTACTGTCTTTCTATCAGGAGAAATGAGAGTTAATCAGATATAATAATCATAAAGCTATCCATATGGCTACCTACTTCTGAAGGGAATTAATTTTTTTTTTTTTAATTGTGATTTGGGTGAAAGTTTACAGAGCAAATTCACTTTCCATACAGCACTTCACATACACTTTGTCTCATGACATTTACTGCAATTTACCACAATGCAACAGCTCCCCTCCCATTTCCTCCCAATAGTTATCTCTTCCCTGTGTCCATCCCTCCATGCACTCCTGCCCCCTGAGCTGTCTCCCTGTGCATAAACAGCCCTTTCTTCTCCTATGATTATTCTCTCCAAGGACTGTATCTACCTCAGGTAAATGTTCAACTCATATGCCTGCCTTTTGTTTGGCTGGAAGCCACAGGTGTGGGTTCAATTCTGGATCTGAAGGCAGCTAGGGGCCATAGTCTCAGTGGGTCCACCAGGCTCTATCAGACCAGCAAACCTGGTCATTTCCCCCCTCCCCCCAAATGATTCTGAGTTTTGTTCCACATTGTTCTCCCTTTGTATCCAGGATCTCCCACAGATCCCCCTTCAAGTGGTTGACAGCGGTAGCTAGGCACCATCTAGTTCTTCTGATGTCATAGTTGTCTAGGCAGATCGAATGGTGTGCCAGT